AGCGGCTCGGTGGGGATCAGCAGTTCACGGGGTTCTGGTCCCTGGTTGGCCATGGGCTCACTCTCCTCCTCCCCACCTGCATCACAGTGGTGGGATGTGGCAGTGGGGCTGGAGCTCCCCATAGCCCCCAGGCTGCCCTGGGGCAGGGCTGAGCCCTTTGGGGAGGCACCTGGCACCGCTCTGGGGGCTGACCCCTTGCATCCTGAGACCCTTCAGCATCAACCTGCCTTGTGGGAGCGTCTTGATCTACAGGTTTCAACCAAGGCTGGTGGGACACACATGCAAACCCCCCAGCGCTGCCCTTGCCTGGCCTCTGGGACATTGCTTTGGCTCACATCCCTCCATGGCTCTCCTCCGAGCAGACCCCAGGGGCTCTCCGAGCTCAGTCTGGCCCCACAGGAGCTCAGCACCCCCCAACAGCAGCGCCCTGTGGTCCCTACAAACCTCTCCTCAGAAGAACCAAGCCCGGAGCTGGCCAGGGCACTGAAACCAAGGGGGCTCGCCCTCCTCGATGGAGGGAGGCAGAGCTGGAGGCACCAGGGTCTGCTGCAGAGGGTCTTCTCCACCGACTTTTCTGTCCACACCACAGCTCATGCCCAAGGCAAGCACAGTGGGTCTGGTCATCCTGCATGACCACCTCCATTACCACCTCCATGAACGAGTGGTGCTTCCCACATGGAGCCAAGGGGAGGACGGCAGCAGCGGTGCCACGAGCTGGTGACACGGCCACAGGGGAAAGTCCCAGGCGTGACGGTGGCTTTGGACCTGGAAGGTGGTCGGAGGCGATGGGACATACGTCAGGAGGGAGCGATGCTGAAGAACGAAAAGAACCATCCATGTCTTTAACCTCTTCCCCTGGAAGCTCTTGGGACCATCTGGAAACCCTTCCACAGCCATCAAAGGGTGTTTCAGCTTAAAAGAGAACAAAACAAACCAAAACGGAAGGTCGCAGAACTGAGGTATCGGTAGCTCTGGGTCGCGCCGACTGTCCGCGGTGCCGCGCCG